ATCCACCGAATTTGCTGTTGCAGAGTGGGGAAAGGAGAGAGAACACTGGAGAGGATGAAAAAGGAAGAAAAGGGGTTAGAAGCAAATAAGATTAACAAGAGAATGGGAGGAAGAAACTATTGGAAATTTCTATGCGGGCTGTCGCTAATTGTATTTGGTTTTCAAAAATTGGATCAAATGAAAAAGACTAGTAAAGCCCAATAAAATAATGTGATCCAAGTGGACCTAAGTTTTATCTCAGTTTTATATAGTGTGATATGAATAGGTGTAAGGCCTGAAAGTAAAGGTGGGTTATTTGATGGGGGTGTCCAAAAGATTATTATAATGGGTTAGATCCCCTCTCCCATTCAAAGAATCCTACCTCTATAAATAGTAGAGTTAGGGAGTGTCATGACTCATTAGTTGTCACTATACAGAAGTTGATTAAAGAGAGGAAGACTTAAATCTTGTAGGTTTTGTCATGAAATCTCTAATTATGATGATTCTTGAAGATTCTTAAAGATTCATAGGTAATATATTGATTATGAAGATTTAAGGTACGCAAGTTATTTATTTTATTAAATCTTGGTATTCTAAATTCTACGTATGTTAATCCCTAAAAATTCCAACAGGTGGTATCATAGCAATCATAAGAAGATTTAGGATTCAAGGTTAGGCTTAATTTATACTATTTTATTATTTTGATCAATCAAAAACTAAAATCTTTTGACAAATACAGTGTTGAGGAGAAATTGATTATAAGTTTCAAACTATTATCTAATTAATTGTTGCTTGGCTTGACCATCAACATAAGCCAATTAAATCAAGTTTAGATAATCTACTTTAATGGACAACTAGATTTATTAGAAGTCTTTGAGCCATTTAAATTGCCGTCAGGATGTGGGTTCATGCAAGTTTGGAAAGATTTTAGTCATGAATATATCCAATCTTTCTCCTCTTAAATCTGTATTTTTTAATCAATGTTAATCAAAATTGATTTGGAGAGTTAGTAAGTATGGGTTTTAGCCTTTTAGGAGTACCTACAGTATACATACACACATATATATATATATTGAAAATGCAGAAACATGTTTGGTTATTGAGGTAATAAACAAAGACATTACTAATTAGTCTTTGAATTCATAATATGAAGTATATAAAATCTAAGAGTTTGGCCTCATGAGATTATAGGTATGGGAGGTTGATTTTCAAGTTATCTAAGGCATTATGCTGTAAAGTACTATTTATTGGGTTGCTGATATAGTTTATGGTTATGGATCAAAATAGATCGATTATAAGGAATGATTAAAGGAAAATTTCTAATATAATCCCTTAATGGTTTTATTCATTGTAATTATGTCTCTAAAAATTTTAAATTAATATTGAATGGTCATAAAGTGAGAGTTCGATCATATTAAATAAGTAAGGTTTAAATATAAAGGGGAAATTCAGTATATAAGAATAATTG